GGCTCTGATTATAGTTTTGTTTAATTTCCTTACATCTATTTCACACTTTGCAGATCACAGAAGAAATATCATATCTAGTTACGGGTACTGAGAATCTAATGTGAAAATAAGCTATGACGCTGTTTAGGTTCCATCACTACAGTAATTGGTAATGCCCTTCAAATATGTGGGAGATTCTGTTTGAAAATTGCAATCATTCAGGGGGTTACTTGGTTTGCTGGACATTCATATATAATCTAAACATAAGAGATGGTGATCATGTTTTTATCAGCAGATTCAACTACTGAAACAAATCCCAGCCTATTTGAGTTAGTGGATGAGTGAAGCTTATTAATTATAATTATGCAAATTTAAATCTGTGCAACATAGAGCATATTGATAAATTCCTATACTGTACAGTATTTTAAAACACAAACATTCTTCCTCCATGTGAACTTTTAAACACTAAGAATCACATACTCCTGGAGCTAACAAAGTCAAAACTTAATTGTGTTTTTTTTGTTTGTTTTGTTTTTTGTTTTTTTTGTTTTTTTTTTTTTTTTGCCATGGACTTTGCTTAGTTCCTGACCAGTGACAGACTTGGTCTTGAACAGGGCACTGTCTTTACGAAGTCATCTCATGCAAGGAGCAGGAACCTCTTTTATGAATGACATAAGCTTGTCACCTGTGGCCATTGAGACTTAGGTCAAGATCAATCTTGTGTGCCCCACCCACGTGTAAATATAAACCATCTTTCAACAGAAAATAAATGACTCCTTCGACGCATAAGTACTTTAGACCCTACATGACAGTCTTGACATGGAACCAGAATGTTAATGTGAACAAATCCTTCTAAGTTAAATACCATTTTTTATATAACACACCAAATGCCTTTATAAATACCTAAACTACTTATAGGTTATGGGTCCACATGAGAGGGCTGGGGAAGAGGATCAAAGAAGAAAGGGGAATGAGAAATTTTAAAAACAAAAGAAAGAAAAAAGAAAAACACAGGGGCTAGAAGGATGGCTAAGCAGTTAAGATCACTGGCTGCTCTTCCTGAGGACCCAGGTTTGGTTCCCAGCGCCCATATGACAGTTCATAAAAATTTGCAACTCCGGTTCTAAGGGATCTGATGACCTCTTCTAGCCTCTGCAGGCACCAGGCACATACCTGGTGCACAGACATGCAAGCAGGTAAACTTACCCATATACACAGAATGACAAAAATAATTTTTAATGACTTGGAGTTTTAAGTCATTTGTTCCTGCGTTTCCTCTCCTGCATAATGAACAACTAAACCTTTATTTACTCCAGTTTTGATGCTTTCCACATGAGGGTAATGAACCCTTTCTGGATTGCATACCAGACAGAAAAAAAGCTGCAACAAAAGTCAAACATGTTATCCTATGAAGAGAGAAGTAGGACTCTGAATATAATTAGAGAACCCAGGTCAACTGAACCAAGCTCTACTCATGTGATAAATATATTTTGTAATCTCATATTTTTGTTGGATATGATGCTCCCACATCCAAAATTCCTCGGGTTGAAGTATGTGGTTAGTATGTCACATCTTCTTGCTTAAAGCAAGTCTTCGAGTACAGAAGAAAAGTTTAAATGATTGCAAATAACTAAGGAATTAAGATAGTTTCTTCCTAAACCAAAAGAATAACCGAGAGATCCCTCAAGAATCTCTATTCAGCTGAAGGCACAGCTTTGAAAAGACCTTTAAAGGTACTTAAATTAATTTCTGATAGTCATAAGAAGGCTGTGAGTTGAGGAAATCTATACTAGCTGCAGAGTCAAGAAATTCCCAAAATGTTTCATTTGTGTCACTAATTTAAAAAAAAAGTAATATGCTTGACTTGTAAAAAGTTATTTCGTCCTAGTGGGCAACAGATTCTAATTTGTTAATTTTTCTAGAATTTTTTCTTAATATGTTATTCCCAACGTGTGGTTTAGAAAAAAAAAGTGTGGATGAAAAAAATAAAGAGAGAAAGAAAGGATGGGATGGGGGAAGGGATTTGCCTGGGAAGGATGTGTGCAGTCAATATAAAAAAGCAATAAAATAGGATATAATTTCCTCAGATTTAGCTTGAAAACCTACCTAAGAGCATGTATCAGTAAGGATCACAAAATGAAAAACTAGTGCATGAATGTTTCAATGTGTTTAAACAAGGCCCATTAGGTATGAATTCATTGATGAGCTTCAGGGATCCATGGACCCCAGGAAGTTGCATAGAAACATCTTTGTTTCTGTTGTCCAGATGTGCACTTCCTTTTCTGGAGGGTTTCTCGCTTTCACAACATCCAATATCCACAGAAGTATTCTATGACGCTCGCTCCACAAACAGACTGAGACTCACACTTGTGGCTTTAGCTCATTACTAAGTATTTAATACACTTTTCTTCTCTCCAATTCAAAACCAATGTGCATGTGTGGGTATCCAGAAAAGAAAGCTTGATGTTGCCTGATCTTGGCAAATTCTATTTGTGTTAGGCATAGTATTTCAAAGCATAACAAGGGTCTCTGCCACCCATAAGAAACTCAAGATGAGTTTAAGTGTTAAGTATTTTTTTAAGCATGGGACAAACTTCATGTTTTATTGCCAAAGGAAAAAGAATTTAAAGAACAGTTGTATTGGGTGTTTGCTCCATCCAATTTTTTAGCACTGAACTTATTTGGATTATTAAATTCTTAACCATATCAATTACCAATTTTATTCCAAATATGGGAAATCTTACCATCCTGAACATATTACTGTATGCCTAGAGGTTATGACATTGACATTTTGACAAATGTATTTTCAGAAGTACTTGAAATTTATTACACTCAAATTAGCCTATAAAAGTTGATTCCCTTTTACCTGGCTATTCCTTTGGAAAGGTGATACTAAGGTGTTTTTTTTTTTGTTTGTGTGTTTTATTTTGTTTTTTTTTTTTTTTTGTATTTTCCACTGGACCTTTAAACAATGGAACATCCTAGAGGCCCAGTACAGAACCTCTCCCTCAAAGATGACAGAGTGTATCTTAAAGGAAAGTTCACTTGGTCTGTGAGTTTGAATTGAAGTCACACTGACAGTAGTTTTTCTCAAGAGGGAGAATTTAGAAATTTCCATAAATTTTGTTTCTTTCCATATTTGAGGATTGAACCCAGGGCCATGTGAATTCTGGGCAAGTGCAGTATCACTAAGCTCCATCCCCAGACAAGAATGAGTCTACCCTCTGAAAAAAGGCCGTGTTTATCAGTGCGCATTAATGTACAAATCCCCATGGAGTGATTATTTTCATGGCAGCAAATTCTCGCCTAACAGAAGTGTGTTGTGTGAAGGTCTCCAGTTAGTCTTTTCTCTCCTGAATGCCTTTCAAGAGCTTGCTGTGGAGTCATAATGGTCAACACTGGGATGGTCCTTCCTTCACAGACAACCAAACAGACTCCCTAAGCATCCTGAGATCCAGGTTGGACAGGGCTGCTGGGAAGCAGAACCACAGAATGTTTCACTGTCCTCTCCTTAGATCTGAAGAATAACTCCAAGGTCCTCCCCATCTATAGAACTAGTGGGAACCCAAGCTTCATCTCTCCCTCAGTTCTCACTAGAGAACACATTGAGAACTCACAGCCTCGTACCTTGACCATATTTCTCTCCTTTCTCTCCATATTTTAGATGGAGATTTAAAGTAATACCTATTCATGTAAACCACCGTGTGGGACTGACCCTTCCTTTCAAATTAAAATCAAACTATGAACAAAATCTATCTTCTGTGACTTAGAGTTGATAAGATCCTGTGAGACTGGTGCACTCATATTTTAGAAGACAAACAAGTCACAAAAGTCAAATAAAATCTGTTACCCATTGAACAAAAACCAAATCCCAAACTATTATTTGTCACTGGGAAGCACTTTTCTGATACAAGACAAAATGGCATTCAAAGGACAGAGGACTCAAATGACCAAAGTTTCAGTCTTGTTTTGTTAAATTCCTATTTACAGAGGTGGCACAGAATTTCAGCTATGCCCTTTGTAAGAACACTTTTATGTACATCATAAAATCAACTCATTTTTATGTTGTCCAGTTTAAAACCGTACAATACCAAAAGTAATGGAAGTAAGTTACTCAATGACAAGGATGATATTTAATATGTCACCTTAAAATAAACTGAATCTGATGCTCATCATTTCTTTCACGAACATTGGTTTCTAGGGCTTCTCTTTAATGCATTTAGATTGAATAACACATATGATGCTAACATTACATACAGGTTTACATGAAAATGATAGTACTCTGTGGCTTGAAAGAAGTAGCTTAAATGTGTTAGGAAATATTTCTGAATGCCCTAGATTTAACTGAATGCAACAAATGTTTAGTGGGTACCATCATGCACCTGACACCTTACTCAACAGTGCAGGATGTAGTATACAGAAACCCCTCTGCCCGAGGAGGTGAGCTCTGATGATGTTGGCGTTGCGGAGATCTGCTGTTCAGCCAGTCACCTATGGGCAGAACACATAGACCTATAATGCAGCCCACCGTGGGGTCAATAAACTGCTACTGGCTTTAATGGTTTATTTTTACGAAAAGAGCAATTTAGACACTTCAGCGGTAACCGGGGAGTTAGAAAATTTTAACTTGCATCATTTTTTCACAGAAAACTTAATTATTAGACAGATAAGACACTTATTACAATCAAACATGGCCTCCTATATTTTGACTGCCGGCCCAGTCATTCTGTTAGCCACTTTCCTTCCTCATGTATCAGAGATTCTCAAGTATAAAGTGGTATAATCTCTTTGTTTTGTTAGTTGTGGGGATGAGGAAAGGTCATTTGGACTTTCTGGGGGTGGTAATTCTACTAATGAGTTTTCTACAAATGTCACTCAGTATTTTATCCCTTCATATCTCATTACCTCCCCCGTGCTCAGTAATTTTAGTTTATGCTTTTTTTTTTCTCTTTTTGTTTATTTGGTTTGCTGGCTTTGTGTTCTTTTCTCTTTTTTTCCTTTTCTTTTCCTTTTTAATGCAGGAATTGGTCAAGGGGTTCCAGTGGTGGCACTCATAGTGGAAGGAGGACCCAACGTGATCTCAATTGTTTTGGAATACCTTCGAGATACCCCTCCTGTACCAGTTGTGGTCTGTGATGGGAGTGGACGGGCATCCGACATCCTAGCTTTTGGACATAAATATTCAGAAGAAGGCGGGTAAGTAAATTGCCAGGCACCATGGTAAATATCCAAGTACAAAGCTTGTGTTTAAAGTTTGGCCAAAGGTGACAACATGTTCTCTGCAGTTCAGCCAATACCTCACATTCTAACCAACTATGAACAATTATCTAAATATTTACTGTGGGATGATTGAGAGGAAGAACAGAGGACAACGCCCCTACAAAGTAGAAATCCATAAATGCTCCATTGAGACCATGCTGGTAATAAAGATGAGGGTAAAAAGGAAGTCAAAAGATGTTCTTTTACCTTCATATCTCCTTCCCACTTTATCCCTCAAGGAAGGAGAGGCAGAAACTAGATTTTGAAGGGTCTGTGCTGTAATAGGGTACCTTCTAGGCGTGAGTCTAAACAGCATTGTGGCCAAACTGCTATAAACACATTGGGCAGACTGTTTTATGGGGTACTTCTATATTGGCCTAGAAGGTAAAACCTCTATAATTGGAAACATCTCTGGTTCTTTGTAATTTCCTCCCTGACTTCCCAACCCCTATGTATTTTGCTTGGACTGCCAGCTCTTAAATGCTACATTTTAACATCCAAAGCGCCTCCATCCCTGGGAGAAAGTCTCTCCTCCAGTGGAATAGTGAGGTCTGAGCACTCTGGCAGATTATGCAAGTAATTTGAAAGGAGGTACGACTGAGTTTAAGGAATACAAACAGGAAGAATCACTCGGCCTTTTGCTTTTGGTTGATGTTGGCTTGGGGATTTTTGTTGTTTATTTTTGAGGATTTCATATGAAGAGCTACAGAGAATCAATGGCTGCTGAGAGAGGGATTATCCTTCTTCCCTAGGGATGAGACCTCTGATTGGTTTGCAAATCCCTAGTGGTCAGCCCTAAACACACACACCACATACACATACAAACATATATAATGTCATTTAAGTCCTAAACAACAACAAAAAAAAACTTTCTTACTCAATTTTCCTAGCACATGGTTAGGGCAACAAAGAAGTTCACAGGAGCTAGGGCCTTTTATAAATATAAAGCAGGTAGCCAGTGGGTACCATGAACTGTGCAGAACATTGAGATATGAAAAGGAAAAACCTGGAGTTGCCATGCTCAAGAGCAAATCTAGTGAGTCTAATGAGCAGATAAACACGCGACTACAGATGAGCTAACTCGGAGGAAGACATTTACCCCCTCTTCCACCTCTTTCTTCCCTATCTACCTTCCCCACCTTCGTCACTGGCCCTCCATTGAGCCAATAAAACAGTATGCTTAACTAGAATCGCTGTTTTTTGAAGTGGGGAGTAGCAGAAGGCTGAGGGCTTCTATCCCATCACTGAGCACCGTGGCAGTGATTTTATGCCTAGAGATTTGATAGCTATAAAAAGATCCCAATTGAAGTTAAAGCTTACTCACTGGCAAATTTAATTAAATTGGCATTGTTGTCTTCTTTAAGAGTAAGTACTGATCCATTTTATTGCTGAGGATGTAAAAGGAGGACATTTGCCCAATGATCTTTATGTTGACTAACAAAAAGGGATATTCAATAACTGTAATGGTTTTTTTTTCATTGTTGATGTTGTAAAAAAGTTTTTGCTATAGTCCTCATTTCTTTAAATATAGCAACATGCTTCTCTTATCTGGAAATAGACAGAATTAGATAGCACTTAGCTTGATTGTTGTTCCCTGGTGTTTACAAAGTATGTACAGGTTTGCATTACAATGCGGGTTTCCTTTTCCCTCTTACCAAGCCAAAGAAAAAGGGGGTGGGGTGGCATACTCTAGTGTTTCTGGCTACCTGAGACTATGCCCAACGATGTTAGGGTCCGGTGACTATCATTTATTATTATTTTAGGCCATGTGCCTTGAACCTATTAAAATCTCTCATAAGTTAAAGTTTGATCAATGGCAAATTTAATTAAATAATCTCTGATTATTTCTGTTTGAGTATGTGAGGGAATACATTTTAAAACTGGGAGGGGCACTAAGTAAGTTAATCTAATTGAGTAGAAATTAAACCCTTTCAATCCTCACAGTCCATGAGCTCAGATGAGCATTTCATCTGGTTTACTAGCAAAATTTGTTATGAAATGTTTTGTGATGGGTGCACAGACGTTACTCTGTTTTTTTTTTCAATAATTATATTTACTTTTTCATTATCATGTATACTCCTAACATACAAAAAAAACAATACATTATATATAATCTTGTGTCCAACTTATGATTCCTTTCTCATGTGGGATCTTTCCCATCCTCACCCATCCTTAAATTAACAATTAAAATGATCATGCACAGCCAGGCATGGTGGCGCATACCTTTAATCCCAACATTTGGGAGGCACAGCCAGGCAGATCTCTGTGAGTTCAAAGCCAGCCTGGTCTCCAAAATGAGTCCAGGATAGGGCTGTTACACAGAGAAATCCTGTCTTGAAAAAAAAATTCATACACTTCAAACTTCACCTAGAATTCTTAGTTCTAACTCTTTTATAATCTAAGTATGTAAAATCCCAATCTATACAGGATCTACATAAATATGAACCATGGCCATTTATTAAAGAACATAAAATTATTCATATCATTAGTACAGAGGCCAAAATTTAAATATCTATTTCAGGAGGATTTTGAAACTTTAAAGTTCTTCTGAGATACTTACAATGCTTACAGTAAATAGAAACCTGAAGGGAAGTCTTGTTTCTATGTGTGTCAGAGATTCTGTGCACAGTGTTATGATGAAAACCTGCTTTCTCAGGAGCACAGTGGTAAATTTACTGTGATAAAATGAAGTCAGGATAAGATGAAGTGTGCCATTTGAATTAGTTCCAGGGTTCATCATGCCTGTTTAACCCAAACAGAAATTGTATAACACACATGTGCATCCAATTTAAAGTCATTCCTAAAGAACATTATTCTGTAGCAGTGTACTTTACTTACATTTAAAATAATTGAAAAGCATGGGTCCAGCTAGCCTTCATTCACCAGGAAGGATTTCTTCTTTGATTTTCAGGGCCCAATGGAGTTGAGCATTCCACTACATACATAGATACATACATACATCATTGTATAAACAATACATATAAAAGTAAATGCATTGCTGCCCAAATAAAATTAGATTCAGGGAGCATATACATCCTAATTAAAAATCTTTTATTTCAGACTAAATTAACATTTTGCTGACTTGTTTAACTGGAGATTTGTTTAAATGTTTGAAGTTAATTTCACTGTGGGTTGTTAAACAATACAGACCCAAGAACTATATGAGAGTGTGCATTCAACTACAGAGCTCTGCATTTTACAATCTTAGAGAAATGACCTTTTCTCCCCTTACATTGTCATCTTTGTGACCTTTCTAGCTTGCTGTTGAGCTCCTTTCCAATAATATGAATTGGAAAGAGAATATGAATTGAAAAAAGAATCGCTTTGGAAGTGAATTATAATTGGCAAAACTGATTATCTTCTGTGAATGAGATTGCTTGAGATAGAAACAGACAGACTGTCTATCACAGCGTAAATGGGTTTGGACAAACTGGGAGGCAATCTCAATTAAATGCTTTTTTTTTGTATGTGGTGCTGAGAATGAAATTAAATTTTATATTTTGTTGTTTTTTTTTTTCTCTCCCTATCTGTTCTGTGACATATGGTACCTGAAAGAAATGGTCAAAGTCCATATTTCCCTTATTATCATAATGTGTTTTCTGTTTACCTATTACAGTTGAAAATGAATCAGTAAGTCCTTTCCATAATTAACTCCATTGCTCTAGAATATTTTCAAAGTTAGCTTCTTAATTACGAATGACCAAATCCCATAAAACCAAATACTAATACTACCGGGAAGTGTTAGATTTAATCACCTAGGATTTTGAATACAAAGACCTTGCTCTCTCGTGCTTGATTGAGCAGGTGGACAGCATTGTCTGGTGTCTAGAACACCTTTCAGGGTGCTGTTTCCTGGTGTTGAAACCAGGCGTGCCTCTGCCTCATAACTGTCTGCCTCAAGTCTCAGGCTGCAAAGAAATAGGGCCTTGCTCCTTCATGAACAATGCCAGCATGAGAACACCATCTAAGTACATGTATGCTCTGAGTCAGTGGCCTCCATCCATCACAGTTTTATTACCAATGCTTATTTGTATTTGACTGGGTTTGTCCAAAAATTATCACCTGGATTTACCAGATTTCAGATACGCTGGGAAAGAAGCCGAACCACCTGGCAGCCTTAAAGAAAAACATGCTTTAAAGAGTATTTAATAATTTCTTCATGACGGTTGGAAAGTTATCAGTGAGGCATGTACCATTCATGTTATAATGTTATAATGTTCTAATGGCATTTCAATTCGGGCCTGACTATGAAGAAAATGTGAGCACTATCCTAATCTTGGGAGTAGAAGAAAAAAATGTAGTGTGTGTTATGTGGTGTGGTGGTGGTGGTGTTGTGTGTGTGTGTGTGTGTGTGTGTGTGTGTGTGTGTGTGTGTCTATGTGTGCGCACGCGTTTTGAGAAAGGTAGTTACGGTGGGAAGGCTGTGAGGGGAGTGAGGGGATGTGTGTGGTGTGCGCTATGTGTGGAAAGGCGGGAGGGGATAAGGAGGTAGTGGCGTGGTAAATGTAAGGAAGTACGTTTGGAATGGGATGGGAGGGTGAGAAATGGCTGAATGATATGGGAAAGGTGTGAGTGATTATGAGCTTTGTATGTGTGTGCATTTAAAAACTCTCCTGAGACTTTTCTTTATGGAGAGAACTTAATGAGAATTTTCATGGATTCATTTGTTTGTTTGCTTGTTTTTGTTTTCCTTGCTGTTAGCCACTTTGTAAATGGAAAATAGATTTGTTTTTGATTCATTAGTATGAAGGCATGAGAGCATCAACCAGCTATGAAAATGGAAAACTACATTGCATGGTTTCCAATTTATAACTGCAAATTTCTCAGAGATGTGAAGGAAGTTCGCTTTGTTTCCAAATGCACACCCTATATCCAAAGTCATCAGAAAATGGGGCGTATTAGAACCCAGGAGAGGTCGTACCCCTGGGGTGTGTCAT